TATTTGGTCAAACCTGTGACTCTTTCCAGGAAAAAGACAAAGACATTTTACACATGATGAGAAAATGGTTGTGGTGGTTTTATTGTGAAGTCATTTGGTCTTTTCTCACGTTTGATTTGCTGCTGTCTTTAACAACCTCGTTATTTTAGGAGGATTATTGTTGTTTYGTAGTCAAGTGTAAAACCACTTTGTGATTGAGTGTTTTCATTGTCAGACATGAGCAGATCCACTGATCTCTCGCTCACACTCAGTTTTAAGGCTGCGTGGACTCAACTAGCTGTAATGTGCTGTGGGACACCCCGACAGAGACACACTCACCTGGACACATCCATCATAGACAGTTCTTACAGATAAATAATAAATAATAATCAGAAAGGTCATGACTGTAAATGATCCTGTGGTYGTGAACCTCTGTCCCCTCACAGTCTGTGCTAATATCAAGTTGATTGTTTATGGGACATCATTTTCTTCAAGGGCAAAACCTGCAGGGCGGAGTTCTGCACGGCAACACATGACATCACAGCTGCTGTATTACTAACCAATGAACAAGTATAAACGTTTACATGAACCGATGTAACCGTGTCTTCCACTGAGAGACCAGTTATCTGTGTTACGATGAAGACGTCTCAGACAAGAAAGCGTTCAGGAGCCTTTCATGTCTTTGATGTTGAAATATTTATTGAAGCTTGGCCAAGGAGAAAATCAGAATTCATCCACACAACATCTGTACATGATGCTCTGTCATATTCATGTCCAGGAGCCWCATTACATGATTAGAACAAKAATGAAACAAAGGTCTGACCCAGTTTAAATTCACTGGTCTGTTATCTGTGCATTGACATTTCATTTATTCATAATCATCGAGATCCTCTCGACCACAAACTCCCACAAAACAGTTGTTGAGGTTGATCTGTGTTTCTGGGTCAAGTTCAGAACATTCCCTTCCTGTAGTGATGGATCAGCTCTGACACGTCGTCTTTACACACCTTGATCCATCCGTCCTCTCGCATGTGGTACACTGCACACACACACACACACACACACACACA